GTCCAGAGTCGCCCGTGCGACACCTCGAACTCTGGCGGGAGCGCTTCAGGTGGGCTGAGCCGCCCCTCGGCACCGCGCCCCCCTGACCCAGACAGCAGGCGCGGGACTGGCTCCTCTCAGGCCGAGCCCTGCGAGCCGGGCTCTGAGTCTTCCTCGGGCTCGGGTTCCCTTTACGCTCAGGACAGAGGCCGGAGAACGGCGATCATCCCATACTCCAGCCGGCTTCCTGGCCCGGACATTTCCTCTGCGCCCGGGTAGCGTCTTGGTCGTAGCGGTGCGGAACCCCCTCCTGCCGCCCCCTCTGCAGCCCGGGGCTTGGGAGGGAGACTGTTGCTGTGCACCTCTCCCTCTTCTCTCACCCAGGAATAAGTTTCTTTTTCCTCTCGGTTGGAAATCCTGCGCTGGAGGTCCAAAACACCTATCCTGTATTCCCCAGCTCCTGGAGCACTCTTACAAGTATTGCCTACTTAGCAGAGAGAGAATCTCTCATTCTTGACTTGGCTTTTTCCCCTTTGGGAGATAAAAAGGTTGCGCCCCTTTCTACCCTCTTAACTGGTACTCTATGCCCAGGGCCTTATTCATTTGGACCACCAGCTTCCTGACCATCTCTATGTGACTTCCCCCACCCATCTGAGTTCCAGTTTCTTCTGGGCTCCAGTCTCCAGCCCCCTGTGGATCTGGTCAGTCCCACCCCAAGGTGGGAGTGACCAGGGGGCTCTGGCCCAGGATTCCCCACCCTGGAAGGCAGCTCTAAGTCTGCAAGAGATTTGGGCGTCGGGTACGAACCTGGCAGCTCAGGAGTGGGTGCTCCACTCACACCGCACAAGAAGATGAAAAAGCGCAAAGAACTCAATGCATTGATTGGGCTGGCTGGAGACAACCGGAGAAAGAAGCCCAAGAAGGGCTCAAGCAGCCACCGCCTGCTCCGCACTGAGCCTCCTGACTCAGACTCTGAGTCTAGCTCTGAAGAAGAAGAAGAATTTGGTGTAGTTGGAAATCGCTCCCGCTTTGTCAAGTGAGTGATGTTGGGATGAAGAAAAGGCACCTCCTTGCACTACCAAGAGAGCAAATTGAAGGGAAGGATGAGAAGTTTCTAGTAAGAAAAAAGGTAGTAGACTTTGGAAGGCAGAAGCGAGAAAAGGTGTGAGGGAAAAGGTGAATTCAGGTCCTGAATGAGGGATAAGGTAGAAATCTGTTTTGGGTGTGAAAAGAATAGCCCTCCTAGAGTGAAAGTGAGGCATGGGGAATGTGCCAAGATCCCAGGGCACATAAAGAAGCTAAGAATAGAGACAGAGGGACAGAGAAGCTTTGCAACTAGGCTTGCCTTTTTTTATTCAATGTAGGAGAGATAGGGATTTTAAGACTGCAGATTGTTTTTTTCTTGTATGCTTGATGAATCTGAATCATGGTGATGGGGGGGGATATGGTGGGGGACATACTGTAGAAAGCACCAGCCTTGCAAGTAGATGGAGGGTGGAGAACAGTAAGACGGCATCATTTTCCCAAACCATTTTTAGGTGTAGCTACCACTGAACAGATTAAGTAGTGAGCTTCCAGAACATTGAGAATTGAGGCCCATGGTGGTAAAAGACTAATGGGAACCTTGAAGGTGTCCTTGGGCGGTCTCAGATAACACACTGAAAGAAAAGAGGACTCTGTGAGGTTGTGGAAACAAGGGCTAGAAGGTGGGGATGCTAAAAGAGATTGAATTGTTTGTTTAGAATGTCTACCTCCTTTTAGGAATGGGAAAGTTTGACTCAAATGAGCTTGTCAGATTAGGTGGTTAAGGGCAATTCCAGGTTTGAGGTGTTAATCCTGCAATAGTTACCCTGCTAAGTTATTTTAGACCTTGAGGGCTGGTTAATGTTTCTAACCTGTTTCCTTCTTCTGAGCCAGTAAACTAGAGTGCATAGGTGTCTACTTTAAACCTACCGATCCTGTTTCTTTCCTTCTGTCTGCAGTGAAACTTACTCACCAGTTTATAGTTTCAGTAAACCGAAATAGAGTCCCCTAGAGTAAATGAGTGAGTGAGTGTGTATTTTAGAGAGAATGGGTAAAGAGCAGTGATGGCATTGCAGAGAAGCACTGGTCTTCACACTTTTCTAACCTGAGCTTTTCTCCAAAGACCTCCCTCCTGTATTGATGATTATGGCAGAGAGCCACAGTGGCCACAGGTGCTTCCTGTGACCCACAGGAACTCCCTCTATTTCATGGCAAGGTTGAAACCTTTGTACCCAATACAGGAACTCTTCATAGGTCATATTATTTAGTCATTTCAACCTGTTAGTCAAGTTTAAGAGCATTTACTCTGTCTCCCTGGTAAATGCACTGGTTATTAATTACAGAAGATAACTGCATGTTGGCACAAGTATATAATTTCTAATAGCATTGTACCCATCATGACTCTTGTACTGACGGTTGTGTTTGTTCTTATGATCAGGGGAGACTATCTACGCTGCTGCAAGATCTGTTATCCCCTCTGTGCTTTTGTCATCCTTGCTGCCTGTGTGGTGGCCTGTGTGGGCCTGGTGTGGATGCAGATTGCTCTCAAGGAGGATCTGGATGCCCTCAAGGAAAAATTCCGAACAAGTAAGTGATCAATGTTAAACTCTTTTATAAATTCTAAGATGAAGTAGACCATGCCGAATTAAAGAGTTTTGTCAACTCCAGTTAAGCAATTATATATTCCTTCCAGCATTTTTCTAATTCTTTCTCAGCTGTCAACTTGAATGTCGTAACACGTACTTGTTTTTAACTCCACTAACAAAAGATTATGTTTGTGCCCAAGCTGAGTAACAACTGAAGTAATAGCATAGCAGCCAACGCTCAGAATGCAGAAGGCCGGAGCTGAGGTCCAGGATCCTAGAACCTGGGTTAACCTCCATCTTTGGCCTGAACTTCCCTGAGTGTGAAAGGCTGTGGAAACACGGGGCTGTTGCCTTCCACCCCATTGGGCCATTTGAGAAAGAATGTGAGAGTGTCTATCAAATTATTTCCTCTTAAGAAGAACCACATAGGATCATAGGAATGAGCAATAATAATAATAGCCAACATTTCTGGAATACCTACTGCTGTTCCCAAAGTAGTCTTATGAGAGGGATATTATTTTGTGCTCTTAGAAAAAGCAAAAGAGGGCCCGCAAGTGGCATGGTGGTTAAAAAGCTGGATCCCAGCAGATGGCATAATGGTTACATTGTTGGACTCCCAAATGACTGACCACAGTTCAAGTACCAGACCCAGTGGCTTAAAACTCAAGCTGGGCGCATGTGTGTGCATGCTCTCATCCCAAGAGGAGAATGGAGGAGAAGGGATGCGGCACGGCCATCCCCCTGGGGGGTGATTTCTCACTTTCTGTCTCTCTTTCTCTCTCTGGCAAGCACACATACCCTATAGCAAAAAAAATCTCTTTAGAAAAAAAGAAGAAACTGGATCCTACATGACTGACTCTGCAGTTTGAGTCCTGGACCTGGCAACTTGTAAAACAAGCTGGGTGTGTGTGCACCTAAACTCCTGAGAGGAGAATGGAGGAGAAGGGATTGCAGCCTGGCCATCATCCCTTGGGGAAGTGATTCTCACTTTCCTTCTCTGTCTCTCTCTCTCTGGCAAGTGCACATACCCTATAGCAGAAACCTTAAAAAGAAAAATGTAAAAAGAAAAGCAAAGGCTTAGAAGGATTAAGTAGCTTCTTCACTGATTACGTATGGCTCAGCTGAGACTTGGAGCTGGCTCTCTTGCTCCCTTACTGCCCCAGGTCATGTTTATAACCACTGCCATTCCACATCACTGTTCCCAGTGCTTTGTGAGCCTACACACATTTCTCCAAGTACCCATAGATCTTTTTGATAGCAACTTGTGTCATGTATCTAAAAGTTTAGTAGAAGTTCTGGAAGAGCAGGTTTTCTGCCTGTTTATCAGCTTTTAAGCTTAGAACAAGAATTAATAGATTTGTCTCCTATCCTTCCCTGTGCTTATATTTGTGATATCTGTTTCTAAGAAGAAAAAAACAAAACAACTTTTAATTCTCTTTATGACTGTTATCATGTTAAAATTTTAGGAAACTAGTGATTCTTTGAGTTACATATTCAGGAAGGGCTAACAATAACCGTGATAGTACCTACCTTGAACACTATGTAACTAGCAGAAATATTTATCTCATGAGTGAATTTAAGGGACTTTTTAAGTTCTAAACCATAAGGCTGTATTTTACATATCAAACTACTTTTTCTGGAAGGTATATTTGCATAGTAGCTTCATCCAGCATTAACTTAAATATCTTCTTTCGGCAACACTATAATGTTTGCTTGTAGATTCCAAAGGTTAATTTTCTAAGCTAAAGAACCAGTCTTAACATAATCACAAATACCTTGAACTGGAAAGCTTTAGCAAACCAGGAAATTGACCATAAGCCTTCCTCAAGGTCATAGAAAAATCTGGTCCCAGAACTGTAATTAAAGTTCTTCCCATCTGAAGTCTAGGTGATCAGAACATTCTAGCTCCCTTCACCTCCAGCTTCTCTTTGCTGCCTGAAGTTACTCATGTTCTGAACCTGACCTAGGGACAGCTAATCCTCCGTGTGTTAATGATGTTCCAAGTGGTGTTGCTTGGAAAAAAAAAAGTCGAGAAACTAAGCTTGGTTTTCTTCCAAGTTTCTAATTCAAGGAATAGGATTGGGTAAGCCACAGTTCCCTACCAGAGTCATCCTGACCTGTATGTTTTATCAACTGGCCAAATCAGAGTACAGCATAAGGAAGAATGAGAATTGTGCTCTAGTTATTTTTCCTCCTTAATGGTTGTCCATGCAGTGTTGCAAGTTGTTTGTTTTTAGTTTACCAGAGGTTACATGTGGTTGGAGAAGAAATAGGGAGAAAGGGAAAGTGAGGAAGCACCCCCTAGGAAGCACCCCCTATGAGGGTCAAGTCACACTCCCTTCTCTATTTCTCTCTTCCTGCAGGATTTTGGGCAAACACACACACACACCCAGTGTGTTTTTCATGTCTTGGATCCAGGACTCAAACTGCACAGTCGGCCATGTGGGATCCAGCTTCCTGTACTATTACGCCACTGGCTGGCCCACAGGTTGTTTTTTAAGGCCAGTGTTTTCTTTGTAAGTAGTACTCATACCTTGGAAATGAGACTCTCAGAAACAATGTTTAGCTGTAAATAACTACGGAAGACACCTGTCTGTGCCATCCTCTCCATAATTAGTTGGGCATCCTAAGCCTATGCCATCACTTGCTTTACTCACAAATAGCAACTATTTATTTGTGCATTTCAAAATATTACTTAATTCTGCCCTGCAGGGATTTCTTTCTCTTTACAGGGTACTATATAATTTATACCTTAGCTGAGCTTTTTAGGGAATTTCTTTGTTTAGAAGTGCACATTTTGGGATGAACAGTTGGCGTAATGGCTATGTTGCTGGACTCCCATGTAGTCAACCATGGTTCGAGTCCTGGACCCAGTGGCTTAAACTCACACCAGGCGCGTGTGCGTGCGTCCCCAAGATCCCGAGAGGAGAATGGAGGAGAAGGAATTGTGGCATGGCCATCCCTCCGGGGGGTATTTCTCACTTTCTGTCTGTCTGTCTCTCTCTGTCTTCCTGGAGAGCACATGCGCCCTATGACAAAAACCTCTCCCCCCAAAAAAAGAAAAGAGGAAAACGAAATGCATGTTTTAAATATAGCATAGGTCATAAACTTAACAGTTGGTTACTCAAAAAATATTTACTAAAAACACATGTTAATGCCAATACCTGGAAATAGTGTGTTTGGGAAATGCCATAAATTGCACTCTGGACTGTGAAACCTGATTTCTACCACCGAGCAGCCTTCTCCTGTGACCCTAACTGTGTAGCCACTAAAGGAAGCAGATTTAGAATTGTCCATCCAGATGTTCTGTTGGCTTGATTTACTACAATAGAATATGGAATCAAATAGCACCTGTAATTTCTAAAAGCAGGACTTCCTGAGGAGGAGAGTAAGGGGATGAGGCCTGGAGCAGTCAGGGCAGAGGTTGAACCATTGTGGACTGCTTGCCTAAGAGTTTTTTATGAATACCGTGATTGACTAAATGGGATCAATCTTATAATCTTTATTTGAATTGTGCTTCTACTTTAAATATATTTCAATATGTTAATTTTTGTTTTCTTATTTTCCAAGACGATGGAAATCACTAACTCAAGACCACCTGCATTTCTGGCTTTAATGCTTTATTGGGAAATTCAGAGCCTCTCATTCTTTATTTTAATACATTTTCCAAGACACTTGTAGGAAAAGAAGAGGGGTTGCAAGGCCAGCAGGTAGTATATTGGTTAAGGCACTGTTCTCCCACATGGCCAACTGTAGTTCAAGTCCTGGACCTGGCAGCTTAAAACTCCAGGTGCATGTGTGTGCATGTCCAAAATTCCAAAGAGGAGAATAGAGGAGAGAGGGGACTGTGAAATGGCCATCCCTCCTAGGAGGTGATTTATCTCTTTCTTTGTCTCTTGTCTCTCTCTGGCAAGCACACAAGCCCTATAGCAAAAATCTCTCCAAAAAAAAGGGATTGCTGGGAACCAGCAGTTAGCATAATGGCTATGTTGCTGGACTCCCACGTAGTCGACCGTGGTTCGCGTCCTGGACCTGGTGGCTTAAAACTCACGCCGGGCGCGTGTGCATGCATGCCCAAGATCCCGAGAGGAGAATGGAGAAGAAGGGATCGCAGCATGACCATCCCCCCTGGGGGGTGATTTCTCGCTTTCTGTCTTTCTGTCTCTCTCTGTCTGTCTGGCGAGCGCACGCGCCCTATAGCGAAAAATCTCTCAAAAAAAAAAAAAAAGATTACTAAAATATTCTAAATAGAAAGCAAAGCAGATAGGCTTGGCTTTTTTCTTTGTGGTCAGAGAGTAACTTGATCCTTAAACTGAAAGTACTGGCTGGCCTTGAAACTTTTGTTTTTGTTTTTGTTTTTGTAATAGGGTGCACATTCTCACTAGATAGAGACAGTAAGGGAAAAAAGTGAGAAATCCCCTGCCCAGGGGATGATGGCCATACCATCATCCCTCTTCCCCATTCTCCTCATGGTATTTTGGGCTTACACGCACATGTGTCTGGTGTGATACTCAAGCCACCAGGTCTGGGACTCCAACTGCAGTCAGCCATGTGGGAATCTAGCACCTTAACCCCCACTCCACCTGCTAGCCCTGCTCTCAGCTCAGCATTTATTTTCCAGAAACATGTACTTTAAAAGACTCCCATGGGAGACCAGCAAATGGCGTAATGTTTATGTCACTGGACTCCCACATAGTTGATCACGGTTCGAGGCTTGGACTGCAAAATTCATGTAAAGTGTGTGTGTGTGCGGGCCCAAAATCCCAAGAGGAGAATGGAGAAGGAATTGTAGCATGGCCATTCTCCCCCAAAGGGTGATTTCACTCATTCTGTCTCTGTTTCTCTGGCGAATGCACATGCCCTGTAGCAAAAATCTCTCTAAAAAAATAGTAATTATAATAAAAGACTTCCACAGTTATTCTAAGGAAGTTCTTGACTGTCCCTCTTAAGAAATGGTAGAGTAAAGGAAAATAATTTGGAAGAGAAGGGAGGTAATAAGCC